AAAAGTTTTACATGTTTGTGGGTGTGTACCATGAATACGTTACCATATATATATATATATACATATATATACATATATATATATATGTATATATATATATATATGGTACCATTTAAATCAGTTTTGATGATTCCTTTCTAGCTTGCATTTCTTTAGGGTGAAAACATTCACAGTTCTTCCTGCTTTTTAAGTGGTCTGTCACCATCCCTCTAGTAGCCCTGCCTCTTCCTTCTGTTAACTGTGACCTGATGTTCCCCATCTGCCTTTTCCCATTCCTCCATTTCCAAGCTTTTAATTTGAGCATTCCTAGCACATTGGGTCACTTCTGGCTTCAGGAAACAAATATGATTTATATTATTAAACAAAACAAACAAGCACACACAATATGTAGGGTCTGCAAGGTGGACAGTGGATAAAAGTACCTGGTGGCCCTAGTTCAGTCCCCAGAACTCACGTAAAAAGTGGAAGGAGAAGACCCAATTCTACAAAAGCTATCCTTTGACCTCTGCATGTGTGTCATGTCATTTCAGCTCATGTACACACACTAAATAAATGGACAAATAGATGAATAGTTATAGGTCATTATAAACTGGAAGACGTATCCAAAGCTTTACTGTGTGCCAAACACTGTGAGCGTCTGATATGAAGGCACACTGGGGTTCTTACTGGCTATGGTCATTTGCATCTCAGAGAGTAGTAGCTCCTCATGCCAGAAAGTTGCTACTTGGTGACAACCATTTCACAAGCCACTATTCTCTCTCTCCCTCTCTCAATCTTTACACACACACACACACACACACACACACACACACACACACACACACATATATATATATATCGGAATAGACAGTAAGTTTGGCTCAGAACCACCTCTCTTTAGCACACTCAGAAGTGAGTAAGACTGCTGATAGTAAGGAAAGGTTCAACGGGTATCAACAACATGCTCTTGTTTTGATTTTCTTGAATTCTGAAAATGACTGGGATATGCTGATAAATGGCAGGGATGAGGGAAGTTAGGGAAGGTCAGGTCAGGTTCCCAAAAACATTTGCTATGCTGCAGGATTGGCTTTATGCGATTCCAGGTTACATCACACAGTGAGAAGCAAGGTGTCTAAACAGGATGCACACAGGAAGCCACTTTGACGGTGCAAGCCCTTGAGAGCAGTGTTCTTGGGTCTTCTGTCCTTAGTGAAGCCAGGTCAGAAGAACAAGACTGGACAGGCTTCTTTCCAAAGAGGAGTAAAAACACTGCATCATGGCTGTGTAGGTCATGCAGGAGTGTGAGTCCTTAACCTAAGGGACAGGAGTGGCCACAGTAAAAATCGCAATTTAGAGATCTTATCATTCAGTTTCCTCCTACCCCAAAGAGTAACCAATATGTTTAGATTCACACTTGTGAGTGGAGAGAGCTGGATGGGGTGTGTACACTTGTAATCCTAGCCACCATGGAGGCTGAGGCAGAAGGGTTCTTGCAGTTGTAGTATGAGATCCATCTTGATGAGTCCTAGAGGTTTTCATAAGGAAGCAATACAAAGTCAACTTTGCCTTTTAAAGGAATACATCTCAATTATGTTGTCAAAGCTAAAGGATAAAAACGTAAAAAAAAAAAAAATACAGATTCAGGTAAAGAACTAGGAAATAAAAGGTAGGGAGAAGGCAGGAAGACTGCTTGGCTACTTTCTAGGTCTAGCTGATTTTTTCTTTGTATTGTCAGAATTTTCCTGGACTCAAAGCACAGCGTGCTGGGAAGCTCCTAACCCTGTTCCTGCCAACATCGCCCCTTAAAGGCTGCATTCAGCCTCTAGGAAGGTGATTGCATCAGTAACTGCTTATATCTCCATCTTGAGCAAGGCATCTCTAGAGAACACAGGACAGGGCTGCGGCACCTCCTGTCACACAGCCTAGGGCTGAGGCATTGACACATGTGCTCTGGGGCTGGTGCTCAGATTCCAGCATAGATATTCATGGATACTGCACCATTATGGATAGAACTTAGCTTCCTCCTTTCCCCTCTTCCTTCCTGAGAGTTAGTTCATTAAAAATCATACGCATTTTAATGTTCCCATGTTGTTAATAATATTTCTTATGAATTGATGGTATGGGATGTACTTAAGCCAGGACTCAGTGCTTGGTATGCTACAATCTTTGCAGAGACTCCAAGGTAGACCTTATTGCTGCAGTTTTCATGACTAAGGTGCAAGACTCTAAAAGCTAACCAATTTTGTACAAGATCACGCTAGAGAGGGACAGAGCCAGTATTCAGTATGCACCCCTCTTCTCCAACACACATACTACAGAGAAGGGATTTGAACAGAGTGATGGAAGTGGTTAATGAAACCTTTGAGTCTGGAGTAATTTGACCTGGGTGGTGATTTGCGGGGCTTTTAGATGTGGTCTGAAAAATTCCTTCTCTGAAGTCAGCCACAATAACAGTTCATTCTTGGGTTCTCTGCCAACTATGGCTCCTTGGTTACTTCCTTCTCCAGCAGTTGGAATTAAGTGACTGATCTAAGGTGACATCAGAGTAGATTGCAGTGTTAGAATTCATAGTATGGGAAGTAAATGTATTGCCTGCCCTCTCTGGGGCCCTCACCTGTTTTAGGGACACAGTATTTGCTATTTTGCTTCATGTGAAGGTACAGGTTTTATAGTATGAAGAAAAACCCGTCACTGGTGGTGGGGTCCAGTAAATACCAGTTCATTCTAGATAGCACACCATTGGCAAAGTTATGTAGTTTTCTCTCAAACTCTTATGGTGTTCTTAATGAATGCTTGCTTGTTTGTTTGTTTGTTTTCAAGTGAATTTTTTTCCCTCTGAAGAATTGATCAGCAGTTGTTGGAATCAAGAAGAAAATATAACTCTTAACAAACATAGGAAGGGATGGGCAGGGGGAGAAAGGCTGCCCCAGTAAGTGGTGTGGGGCACTGGAAATGAAGGCTCCACTATGGCGAGTGAGCAGGTTCTCAGGGAGAGACACTGGTGTTTATTCTATGCAATACAAGTTTAGCTGTAGAGTCGAGGGAGGGGATGGTTGCCATCTTGCAGTCACATGATAAGGCTCAGGTTTAAAGTGCACAGCTCTTAGAGTGGGGCTGCTTGCTGTGCCACTCACCTGCTGGCTTGCTGTTTCTAGATGTGCCTCCAGGGAGGAAACAAAACAAAACTGTGGAGGGTCTGGTCCATGAGTTTGGTTCTATAAATGGGGATCTCAACAGCCAAGACTTCCTTGAAGAGGTAAAGTAAGAGCCAGGGAACTTAAGTACTAGACTCCAGAGGAACCCAAAGTAGCAACACAAATGAAACAGTTTAACGTTTTACTGTAGCTGTTGTTCTGTAGGCTGGAAAAGTAGCAGGTACAGTGTTCTCTTTTGAAGGAACACAGAAGAAGATCCTTTTGTTAAGTTACAGTCTTGCCTCAGTTCCAGAAAGCCGCAATGGACAAGGGTCCTGGAGAAGAGTTCCGGCCTCTGGCCGCAGGAGATAACCAGCCAGTGTGGTCGGGTCACTTTTCCAGTTTCTTTCCCTCCATTGTGGGAAGTCAGGAGCAATGTGAAGGACACTGTGGGAATCATAAAAATAAGTTTCCTAAGATTTCATGAAATACACTCTAGAGTAAAGAAGAAAAGTCAAGGAAATGGGACGGAGGGATTCCAGTCCTCTTCACCATGACCCAGTGATCAGGAGGCAAAGGGCAGAAATAAATAACCAAGTTTTATGCAGGAATACATTAACAGGGTGTTCCTACCTTCAAGAGTTGAAGAACAGTTGTAGTATGTTAATCACTTACCTGGCATGACCAAATGACCTCGATAAAAACAAAAGCAGTCTGATTTTCTGCTTAATTCAATCCATTCCTTGCCTCAAGTATAAGGGCAAGGAAGAGATTTGTGGGTTTATGGCAGTTGGTGATGCTGCTAGTACCACATTTGTTGAAATTCACTATTGTGCTCAAACTTGCCTTTTTGTAGGCAAGCAAAGAAGGCTGCTGAATTTGAGCCATCCATTCCCCTGGCATATACTACAAGCCTGGTATGTTCACTCCATGAACAGCCCTGGGAAGACAAATAAATAGACATGCTACCTGCCCCTTCCTTCCTAGTGCAGTGTAGCTGTGGAGACAAAACCCAAGTGCTAGAACCAATAAAACATTTCAAAGCAACTCCCCGCCAGTAAGTGTCCATGGAAGCAGAGGAGTGAGCCAAGCATAGCTGTGTGGATTGGTTAGGACAAGCACACAGACTGACAGTGCCAATCCTCTGAGCCCATTCTGTGGTGTTGGTGAGGAATGGCATGGACTGGGCTGCTCTGAATGACTGTGGCGGCGTCCTTTTCCTTATCTAAGAGTCTGTCTGTATCTTGCAGATGGAGATTAAATTGATCCAACAATTTGCTCTCCACAAAGCCATGTTGGTTTTCCACCTAGTAATTTATGCTTTTTCCTGGTGTTTGCAAATCGATTGCTATTATGGGATACAGACAGAACTGGGCCGGGATCCAGTAGGTTGGGGGATTACTGGAGAGGATACGTGAACATTCGTGAGACAGCCTGGAAGAGAAGGCTCTTGTTTCTGTGTATTTTACTCTCTGAAGAAAAGCATATTTTCAGGTTTTTAAAAGTGTTCTTAATTATATTTAGATTGTGTCATTTAAGGGACAATATCTGCTTTATTTCAAATTCCTACTACCCGGCCTTGATATTTGCCTAACCTTCAAATGGCTTCAGTGGCTTTGCAGCCAGACCTCGAATCCCAGGAAAACCCTTTCTTCACACCAAAGCATTATAGATGAGTAATTGTTCCCTTTGACGAAGAAATAAGTATAGGCATCTATCTTCGTTGATGAATAAAACGTTGCTGTGAAAAGGCTTGGGAAAGTATGCTTTATTTAAACACTTCACCTCATTGTTGTACCTCAAAAAAATTTTTAAAGTCCTTCTTAGTATTGTGAAATTCTTTCAAAACAAATTAAAAAGAAAACATATTCTGTGATTTCTTTACAGATTCTGGACAATCAGGAAGTCCAAGCCACAATGATCCTGCCAAGAATCCTCCAGGTAAATATGTGTCCCCGGATGTGTGCACCCTGACATTGTTGGAGAACAAAGGGGCCCTGTATAGATCAACACCCATAATTGGTCAGCTGCCTGTTTTGTTCTGGCAGGCAGTAGAACTGGGACAAGATGTGATTGTGTGTAGGCCTCCTCAGTGAGGACTGCTTCCTATTGGAGTCCTCAGTGTTCACCTGAGGCAGAGGTTTTCGTTTTTTTTTTTTTTTTTTTTTTTTTTTTTTTTGTATCCTTAAAAGCTGATTCAAACACATGTTTAGTCATATGTCTTTTAGGCATTTGAACAGCTAAAAACCTTTTAATCATTTTTTTTTTAAAGTGGACAGAAAAAAAAAAAAGACCCCAAACAAAACAAAAAACCTACTAACAACAATTTCTGTACTCTTACAGTTTATGCACTGTATTTTAAGGAAGGTACTAGTGAGTCATTGTGTTTTTATAATGGGTTTTTTGCAAGAATTTTAACTCACCATCTTCAGTGTAAGTTGTACTTGGCCTTCTTTACTTTTAGATAGAAAAGGATCTTGCCAGATATGAGAATGGGCATATGCATTTTGGCTGTTCTTGGGGTTTTGTTCTCCACATTATGCACATACAGCATCTTACTTTTGATTTAGAGCAGTATTTTCCTTCTCGTGACAAAACAGGGTAAAATTAATGAAGAATTAAAACTTCCTATTACCATAAGAATTTGAATTGTATCTGTGATTTTGTTAAAAGACTATTCTAAAAATATTCTTAACAAAAGCAAAACACAATAAACCGCAAAGAGCCACACTTGCCCTCTGTCTCTCCAAAAAAACTCCTCTGCCATATTATTGGAACAGACCACTTAGTATAAATCGTCAGGATCTTAGGCTTCTCCCATGTCCCATTGCTCTCAAGTCCCTGTGCTTGGCTAATGAGAAGTTGCAGTACCTTAATATTCCCAAACCACAAAAATAGACTAAACTGCTCCTAAAATTATTTTAGAGAAATGTAGCAACCAATATCCCAGGCAAAATACAAAATCAAAAACAAATTATTTTCCCTTTTAAAACATAACCAAGTTTTTCTTAGGAAAATTATTTTTTTCTACATACATATTGTTATTCTGTGTAGAATATTCTGCTTAAAATTATATTGTTTGGGAAAATATTATATACTCTGCAGTGAAAATGTTAATTCAATATACATTATGTACTTCAAAGGTGAAAGTATTAATTCAACACATATTATATACTCCAATGATGAAAAGGACCAATTCAATACATGTCTTAAATTTATACTGAATTGATTTTTCTTGATAAATTTGCTGCTGCTACAAACTGAGAGCAGAGCACAAAATATTTAAGTTAAAAAATAAACTGTTAAAAGCCTCTACCCATTTTAAACAAACAAACAAACAAACAAACAAATAAATAAATGAGGAAAACACCTTGAGAAGAAAACCATGGTAAGTCTTAAAAGCCAGACTACACAGAGGCCATGCTGTTGTTTGTAGCTTGATTTAATTACTGAAAGTAAGCCTGTGCGAAGTGCATTTCTGAGTAAGTGCTGGGGCTCACTCACCCAATGCTGTCTGCTGCTGGAGCTTGGCCGAGCTGGGCAGAGCTATGACCTTTGCGTGCTTATGTAACAGCAGGATTGGAGTTTTGTATTTGTCTAAAGGGTTGGTTAGATTTTCCTTCTGCTCCCTACCATTTTTCTGTTTTTACAAAGAAAACAAACAGAAACCAGCTAGAACACATCAGTTCCCCCAACTTTCAAGTTTCTTTGGTGGGGGGGAGATGTCTTTTGATGACTGCCAAAAACTTAAGACATCAGCGTTAATTTAAATTAAAATTGACATTTTTGACCATTCAGGAACATTTATCATTTAACATGCTTTCTGTACACCATGGTATGAACATTATTGTAGAGCTTATTAAGGAATTTTTGTTTTATTTTGAGATAGCATCTCATTATTAAAAGTTTTTGGTAAAAGCAAAAATATATTCTACAATATTTTGAAATAAACAAGGCCTTTGGAAGTAGATAATATTTTTTAATTTTAAATACAGGAGACCTGAACCTTACCAAGTTCTTGTCTTATAGTCAGTTGGGATAAACTGTATCAGCAACCCAGGTATTGGGAGCTCAGGAGACTTATCCTAGGATACTGTCTCTTTCTCTCAGTTCTGGCCTTGGTTGACCCGATTCAGTGTTTCAGTAGCCACAATCCACTTGTGGGAAAATTCAGACTGGCCTCACAAAGGGGGGTGGGGGAGACTAGGCTCCTGATGGCTTCCACCAGAAGCACAGATTCTGCAGAAGGTGACCCCCACAGCACACTTTAGAGTACCTCCCAAGGCATGTGGAACTCACGGGCATTGCCCCTGTCAGCTACTGTGTGTGCTCCCAACAGCTTGGGAAGAGGTGATGAAAATCCCAGCTCATAGAACCTGTTCCTGACTTCTGACAAGAAGGTGGTCTCCCACCCAGCACATGCATGTATCTGTCCCCGCACCACCCCACCCCTCTTGGCTGTCTGACATATAGGCACTACTTCTTTACTGAGTCTGAGCTTCTTTTTAAATAACATACAATGTTTTCAGTTATTCAATTTTTAAAAAGTGAATGTGCAACTATTTGGTTTTATTATGCCATCTTCACATGTGTCATTATACTTTGTTCTTTCTCCCCACCCCTCCCCCCTGGTTAACCCTGATGTCCTTAACACTGGACTATGGACCTTGACAGATAACGGGCCTTTATTTTGGAATTCATGCTTACATTTGGGACTAGTGTTTCAGTGCAAGCAAACAAAAACTTATTTCTGGAGAAGGGATATTTAGTGTTTGTCATTTGTAAAGTATTTAAATAATTTCTTGGTACTTGCAATTTACAACATTCAAATAGTCTTTATGGAAGTTGCTCCACTTGTTTGTAACCTAAGGTTCTGTTCTGTTGCATGTTCTTTTCACAGCTAAGGGTGCTATACAATGAGAAGGTGCCTGACTGCATGGCATAGTGGCTTTTACTACTTCTTAGAAAGCATCTGGCCATTTCATTGTCTTAATTATGTGTCTCTTTCTTGCTTGTGACCAAATCTGAGACTACATATTTATTCTCACTTGTTGCTAGGAGTCCAAGTGTCTTCTCCTCACCATGTGAGCAGCTGTGGTTGGCTAGAAGTGACAGGAGCTGAGGGACTTGGCCTAAGATCTGATTGTATCTTCAAATACCACCACTACTTGTGGGAAATGCATCATTGGACTGTAGTCTTTTGGATTTAGCCTGGATTTGCTATCTATATTTGTATCTATATTCCTCAGGCTGTGACTCTTTAGATTTCCCAATCTGAATCTCCTCCTTACTGCTGGAATGGGAGGAAATCACAAGAAAACAGCAATCTGGAAGTTGAATATGGCCTTTTCTACAGTTGGACACAGCAGAGTTTAGGAAGGCTGTAGTTTTGTGGGAAGCTCCCTTGTCTGTTAGAGCAGTAAAGAAACATTGAATTTTAGTGCAAGTCCTATAAACTTCCCAATGTAACTTTTTGAAGTATACCAAATTTCATTTTCCAGAATTTTCTTGTTAGAATGAATGGGGTTATACTTCAATTTCCTACTTTCTTCTTTTGGGAGTGTGTACTTTGGTGTGTGTGTGTTTGTGTGTGTTGACATTTGCATGTGGCTTGACATTATATGAACCTTGGAACTGTATGTTGTATGACCTTAAGTCAGCTTGAGTCCCTTCTCTGTAGCAAGGACAGAAATGAGTAAATAATTAAATTGCATGAAGAACCTCTGTCAACTCCAGCAATGTCTGTCTTCACTTAAGACATTGTTTAGGTCATACAAATTTCTAATTCCTCATTCCACAAACCTATTTGGTACATCCCACAATACAAGTCAATATAGGGGTGCCACAAAACTAATACAAATCAGTTAGCACTGACCAAGAAGATGGCACAGTGTCTTTAAAGGTGCTTGGTACCTGCTGGCAACATTGGAGCCCATGTTTGCCTAACCTTTCACTTTAAGTTTTTAAATCTTAGATTTGGGAGTATACATAATACTTTCTAATAGTTTTAAAATCATAAACTGTTTTTCTTTCCTATTTTCATGAACAGACAAGTGGTTTTAGGTTCTCACAGGCAAAGAAAAAGGAAATTTCCTTTGATATTTAAAATCATAAACCATTTATTAAAAGTTCATACTCCTTTTTATGTCCTCATTTATTTCTGTCGGCCAAGATTTTTTTTTAAATGGGTGAAGATACATTGTTTAATAATACTGATGAATAATTCTAAACTCTGATGCCAGATAATATGCAAGAAACTATAATCATGCTTCCTTTTCACAAAAGAATAAGTTGGAATGTCCTGAAGTGAATAGATAACAGTAGTTAAAATCTGACATGTAGGTAAAGCTTTTAAGTAATTTAAGAATTAGATCTGTGCCAATCAAAACTCAAAGGATTTTTTTTTTCTTGGTAAATTGGCTTCAGAATCATTTCTCTTTCTCTTCATACTCATTTGGAGACATGTTCAATGAAGTGTTTAAATGTTCAAATGTTCAAAGGTGAGACAGTCTTGAGACTAAAGAAGGAACAGAAGAGGGAAATGTTTTTTCACAAATTACTTTGGAAAAGCCAGAAGGGTGCTTAGCCCATATCTACTAATTTTTACAGGCTGCAGTATGGGTACTTATATGTAACCAACTCATCAAAAGCTGATCGGCACAGCAGCTGGCACCAAGCCAGGCCTTTACTATGAAGTTGGCCTGATTGCTTGAAATAGTTAATTTACTAAAAGAAAGATGATTTAGAGCCATATCATGGGATCCTGACAGGAGAGCTTTCCCTGTTTCTTCATCCACCCCGATAGCTTACTTTATCACTTACAGATAATATCAGTTACCACTGCCTATTGAATTCTGGAGTAAGTATTACATTCTAGACAGTGAGGTTCTGGATTTGATTGAGCTCAAAATGAGGAGTAGAAGCAGCCATTCCCTGTTTGG